TAGGACTCATACCAAATTCAAATTCTAAAGATTTCTGATCTGTATAGACTATAGCTAGACGCCTACAATATAAGACTATAGTGTTTTCCTGTTTCAAATATGTACATTTTATTGGTTTATTCGGTTGAAATCAGGATCCAAACCAGGAAGTGAACAACACGCCAGATAATCTTCTAACAAAAGGTTCTTAAAAGTTCAATTAGTTTTAATAGTCTAATATAAATATGGGGCCGTTCACATGTTACGTAATTAGTCGTGGGGGAGAGGGGAGGGGTGGGGGTTTCTAAATTATTACGCTAGTGTAATTTTGACACAACAGCTATGTGTAAAACTGATTACGGAGGGGGAACTAGGGGTTAAAAATTGTCAAAAAAGTGATTACGTAATATAAATATGTGAACGACCCCATATATAAGTTTACCTTGTATTTTGACCCTATGTGAGCTATGAGTATAAAACTCTCGACTTTTGGAATTTTAATAAACTACTTTGCGGTACATACCAACCTGCTAGCAGATTTTAAACCAATTATTAATCAAAATGCTTTGCAGGATTCATCCAACATATGCTCAGTGACCGTATGATATGAAGTTCGTGTAAAAAAAGTGACTGCGGTCACACCAAAATTTATGATTACGAATGGTATGCTTTTATGATTCTGCTGGAGTAACAAAATTGGCAAAATTGGCAAAATTGGCAAAATTGGCAGGTTCGAATTGTAGATTTTCATTGTTCAGTTTAGGGACCCATCGCATGGGTACATCGTACAAAAAGCAAATTTGTTGACCCAGGTTGGCAACGAATTTGTCGGGCAAGTTATCAGGATGTCTAATCTCCACCAACCATTAGCGAATAGAAGTTATTTACGTTGGGTCTCCGACGTGACTGGATCGCATTAATCATTATGATATTTAGGTCACTTTAATGTATTTTTTACCAAAACCCAATTGGGTAGAGACTAGAGTGGACCCTCGCCAGTGTCTCGTATTCTTAAACAAAAAGACATAATATCACTTTAAATTACCGTACCCGACCGCAAAATGCTACCCAAAATGAAACGGTCGCTTTTCCCATTCAAAAATATCGGAATACATTTTAATACCAATATACTCTAGTTGTTGTACTGACTGGGGATATGAAAGGGAGGAGGATATGTTGTAGAGTAGTTAGGTGATACAATGAAAGAAGTTGTGATGACAGATTCACTATATCTGTGACTGTGTATATTATATATATTATCACGACAATCTGTCGTAAAACAGGGGTTCCAGAAAAACCCCTATCCGGTACTTCTAAACTTTAAAATATTTTTTGCCACCGATTTGATCAACGTCCATGAGGAGCCCTACAAAATTTCAGATCTCTAACTTTATTTTAGCATGGTTTTTAGGCACCTCAATATGGCGATTTTGGGGTTTTTTAAACGTATAAGTCCTGGGCTCGTATTTTGTACAAATCTCTTAAAAATCTACACGATTCACATATTCCACTTCCAGTTCCAGTTCGACACTAGACCGAAAACATAAGTTCGCGAGAAATTACCCCTGTGGCCTGTCGAACTTGAGTACGTGTCGAACTAGAGTTCAGGTAGCGCACTCTAATTCGACAAATATTTTGGATCACAAAAGCATTTGATTGGGATAACAAGCTCGCATGCTGATATGGTACATAAGCCCTACTATTGTACATTGTACAATAGTAGTATCAAACTTAATGTCCTCAACTACAATTATTTCTTTGACAGACAGGACAGCGAGATACTTCGTCATCATAGTTTTTTGTTTGCTCATGTATCTACCTCAAGGTTTCTAAGTAGGAACCAAAAAGGTAGTTCTTAAATTGGGTT